CCTTCGACCAGGTGAATAAGAATCTTGGCTCCGATTGAATATGTCTCCATACGTATCCCTCTCAGGGGTGAATGGGAAAGTGGCAAAAAAGGACCAGGTAAAAAACTTATTAACGGATGGGTTGAAATTGCTTGGTATTGTTGGAGGAAATATTTTATGTTAAGGTATGTTCGTCACTTACAACTCAAGTGACTGCTAAAAAGGAATTCGAATAAATTTCTATACAAAAGTGTAATGGGTAAATAGCAGGTACCGAAGGTAAGCGGTAAATACTTTTAATATTTTTTATTTCTAGTTCGATAATTGTTTTTATTTTTATATCGAATCGAAGGGTCGAATTTAACCCTTAGTTTCCGATTTTTATTATTATTTTTATCTGAAATAAGCATTATTTTGGTCTAAATTTTTGAGATAATTTCTAACCGTCGTAACTCGGGAAATTCTCTCGCCAAAAATTTGATTCCACGACTTCCTAGATAGGAATCCTGGATCTTTTTTTTCGAACTTTTTAAGAAAAGTACAAATAATAACTGAAAAATCCGGACTTTCATTTTTTTAATCCAATTACAACAGTTATTCTCGACCAAATATTTTTTAAGGCGAAATAAAAGTTCTTTCCTTATAACCAACAAATCGCTTTTCCAAATGAAAGGTATTTGGTACCAAATGATAGAGGACTGACATAGCTTTCAAACAGAAATATCTAAATGAAGATTACCACCTATTTATATTTGTTTATAGATAATTTAATACAAAACAAATTCATATATGTAAATACATGACCCTAGGGTTGTTCTATGGTAACTAAATAACATTTTTAAGTGAAATGTTTTTCGAGGAATGGCCCCCTTATTACGACTAAGTTTTACTATTAATACTGAACTAAAAAAAAAGCGCGGTTTGACCGATTATTTTATTTCAAATAAAAAAAGAGTTCAAAAATAACTTTTTGCTAACTACTTTTGTTATAAAAGTTATACAAGTCCGGGTCCCTCATTAAAATCGTCTCATCCATCCAGCTTTTTCTTCGCAGCTGCCTTGCTTTCGCAAGGCCACGGTTTAAGCACCTTGATTCCTATTTCAACAACAAACCTCTGGAGTAGGCATGTGACGTCTGCAGAATTCTCTTCGGATTCAGTTAATGTTCTATAAAAAATCGATTGAGTGGCAATGCAATGGACCTTATAAGAAATGCCTAAGAGACTTCTCACTAACCCCAACTGACCTAAGCTAACCTTGAGAGATAAAGTAAAGTAAAAATAAGAATATTGTCTGACATAAGCTCGAGAATTTATAGGATCATGCTACACATGTGTGCTTTTTTCCATTCAATCGCACACCTTAAGGCCGAAAAGTATGTGAAGTACATATGTAAATCCTCCATGCATACATATTTATACATATGTGTATGTAAATGATGACACGAATGCACATTTTTATGTAAAAACACTTACAGTAAAAAGTTTTCCACGTATAAAAACTAAAACGCTAATGGAATCGCGTAAATGTCACGTATTAACTACATACAAATAACGCGAAAACAGGCGACAAAAAACACAAAAAAGGAAAACGGGCAAAACCATAACAACGTGACTCATTTCAAACCGAGGGAGTTAAATTAGGTTGCGAAGTAAAAGCGACCACTTTAGTTAATAAGATTGACAAAAGAAATAAAAGTTTTTAATCAACGGCAAAAAAATAGACAAAGTATCTAACAAATAATGTTCTGACTTCTACTTGTGGTTTTCAAAATTATTAACAACCATTCACTGCTAACTACCTTAATGACTTTATTTGTAAATGGTGGATCTCCATCAAATTCTGTGATGTTTAGTAATTGGTTCGTTAAGAAAGCCAAGATGTTACGCATCAAAAGCATCATAACTCATTATTGAATTTTTAGACTAAACGTTATTTGCAAAAAAAAATTCATTGATTTTTTTGCTGGGTTTTAGCTGCAGCGGCTATTGATATAGAACAACGTAAATCAACATATTTATTTTGTTTGTTTATTTTTATTTTATTTATTTGTAATTTTACTGGGTTTTATATGGTCTTACAAATGCCTATTATGTTAGTTTCTTTTTTATAATATACCACATTCGTGCATAAAAGGAACCAATGCTGTAAGTGAAAGAAAGACATATAAGACAAAAACAAAAACATATGTGTAATGTAAGCCACGAAACATTTCTGCTTTACATGGTTTTTATGCTGCATCCGACCTTTGTCAGTTAGACCGCAGCAAAAACGCTCGCTCGCTGTGAACTACTTGCCAATTAGGCATTTTGCCATTCTCTGCTGGTCGCCGTTGCTGTACAAGCTGGGTCACCCCAGCGGGCAGTTGGAAGCATGAACATAATTACCAAATTTTACATATCCTGCAGACTTTTCCAACAATGTAATGGAGGCAAATTTGTGGAAGTGAACGAAGTGAAGAAAAGACAATTGCACCCAAAAAAATCGTACATATACAGAACGTAAAAGCGCTTAAGGTGTTAGCCTACAGGCGGTAAATTTTTTTTTGTCCACTATGGTTGCCAACTTCTTGTTTTGCTGAGCACTCAGTTGGTTGGTTTACATTACGTATTTTTTCTGTGCGCACTGTTTTTGCTGTTTTTGTTTGCCCATGTTGTTAAGGGTTCTCATTTTAATACTACGCGAGTACAAATATACATGGCTTGTGGTTTGGTTTGGGGTTTGTTTATTCTCTCATTACTTTCTATTAAAAAATCGATTTTTACATACATACATACATACATACTTATGTACATTAGCGTGGGCCGAAAATCCGCTTTTTTAGAATTTTTATTGGTATTAGCAAAAATTTGGTGAATTATGCTCTAAAAACGATCTGCGTTCCATCCAACCATTCGTGTCTGTTGCTACTTAATCTAAGTACTTAGAAAAAGCGAACGTCAGTTATCTCTCTTTCTATTATATACAATATAATTAATGGCATAAATAATCGATTGCCCAATTTCACTTGAGCGGATTAGCTTTAATGTTCCGCAAAAAAGTCTGCGTAATTTCTATCCTTCTTATGCTGATAACTGCAGGAGTAAATTTACGAGTAATGCGCCTATTTCGCGTGCCCTAAAGGAATTTTACGATTTATTTACTTCTAAATTAATTGAGCTTTCACTATGTAGATGTGCTTTTGTGAGAATTTTAAATTCGATTATTCAATAAGCATCTATTGTTAATTTTTCGCTAGCCTGTAAGGTACTTTGTACTGTAGGTTTGAAATGGAATAAATAAAACTTAATACATTTTTACTTAAACCCTTGAAATTTTGCTGAAAATAATGTATACAAAACCTAAGTACTTTATAACACCAAAAATATCGAACTCTTTAAGCTATGAATGTAGTAAATAAACTCACTTAGAACTCTATAATTTTAGTTAATTTTGAAATTCATTAAATTTTATCTCCGCAACTGCTAGACACTTTCTACATTGTAAATGCGTAACAAACCAGATAAGAAAACTGTACACAATAATTAATTCAGCCTAATTTCCTGGCATTGAAAGAATTCAATAAAGAGAAAAACCCCCTGGAAATCCAATCATCAAGCAGTAAATCAATTAAATTTAATTAGTTCATTTGATTAAATGTTTAATGAATTTTACCATACGTACATATCGCACACCGCCTTGAAAAGAGTCACAACTCAAAATAATACGTTTGTCAGAAAATGTGAAAAACTATTTCTTAGCACTTGATAATCATATGGGCAAGGACGACTTTGCCTTAGAGTTTTTTTTTTAACAAGTTATAACAAAAATTGCTCCAGCATTTGCTGCAAGGTTAATAAAAGCTCTGTGTACACTTTTAGCGCATAATCTCAAAAATGCCAAATTTTGAGTTGTGACTCTTTTGAAAACGGTGTGCGATATATTAAACCTCGGTAGCAAATTAATCAAATTGCCATGTTTAAGAAAAAATAAATCACGTTTAGATTCGGGTCGTTAGACGCAACTAATAATAGGATTAAACGAAACAGTTTGAATTAGGCAAAGGCAATAAGCATCGCAAAACAGATAAATGAATTCATTACATCTGATAAGTATAAACTGCTGGTACTTTTCCTAAGCTCAACTACAACACCCATAGCATCCAACTCAATACGTTTCCAGCGAAAGGAGAATATATTTAAAATATTCAGGCAGGTTCTGCAATTCACTTCCGAGTGAATTTAAACCCCTGCCAATTTGAATTCTACGCGAATCCGACTCAAATTCACTCGGAAGTGAATTGCAGAACCTGCCTGAATTACTTAACGTTGCTGGTTTATTTCGGTTTATGCTTGCTATCATTGAGGATTTGCTCTGCGGATTTGTTTTGGTATATCGGATTAGCTATTTGCGATACTCAGCCCAGCCCAGGCCATTTTGTTCGATTTCCCTTTTCGTTTTTTTTTTTTTGTTTGAATGAAAAGGAATTGGCATACCCATTTCGTATATTATTTTCATTTCAGTTTCTGCCACTTGTCTGCTGGTCTGCTGATGGCGGTTGAGTTTTCATTTCATTTTAATGCGCATCCCACACAGTTTATGTATATAACAGCAAGAACGAAGTGTTAAGCGCAAGGAGACAAAATGAGTTTTTATATTTTCACACACACACACACTCGAGTGGTAAATGAACTGCTGCATTGTACTACATATGTATATATGCAAGGGAAGTATATCTGTACATTCACTATAAATTGCTGTTGACAGTTTTATATGAGCCGTTTTGAGCGTGTAATCGGTCGAGTTTAAACTTGCCAGCTGCCAGTTTCCTTTTCCTTTTTCATTTTTGCAATTTCCTCTTTGCGCAAAGTATGGGCGCACTTATGTATGTACATAAATATTACTTATACCTGCTACATGCATGCAGACATACACACATATGCACATGCTTACTATTAAAAAAAAAAAAAATACGATCTCTTGTATGCTCTTTCGCATATTTCATTTCTTGCTTAAATTTTGCTTTGATGTTGAAAACTTACTTGTCGGATCGAAGCCGAATATGAATTCCGGGCAACGTTCGTAGGCGGAAGTGCCAGCAGCTGTATCCGGCCAACAGAGCCAACCGTCAAAAGTGCCAGCGCAGTACAATTCACCTGGTTGGAAATACAAAAGATGAACAATACATATATACATATATATGTAAATACAAAAAAGAGAAAGAAGAAAGTGTTGTGGGTGGCTTTTTTTTTGACAAGTTAACTGCGTATGTGAATTTAAAAATGTTGTCCCAGTTTGCCAAATACGCGAGTACATAAGCGCCTAACAGTGTACACTACATCGTGAATGTACATACGCCCGTATGGAGGTGTTTGTTTGTTTTGGCCACATAAATAAGCACAAAAAACGTTGCACTGAAAATATTGTTTTTTATTTACTTTTCGCTCGCGTATTATGCCTTGCACTTTTTTAAAGTAGCTGTTTCGCTAACCACTCAAACTGGTTTTTGTTTGCAAATTAATTACCTACGTACAAAGCTTTTAGGCTACTTTTTTTTTTTTTAAATTTAGTTTGTTTCGCTTAAGGGTTTAATCCTCGGCAATAAAGTTTGCATTTTAAACCTGTTTTGTTAACGATTTTAATGGAAAAACTATATGAAGTACATACAAAAAATGACTAAAATTTATAATTTCTATTTCGAAGATCAGAAAATGTCAACATCAGACTGGCTCACCGCAAGCTGCATCTACACTGGCGGTCAAGACTATGTGATTTGTGTGTTTTTTTGATACTCAGAATACTTTTTCCCATAAAATTTCTCAAAATTCTGGTTAAATGTTCGAAATAATGATGAAAGTTTGTTGAGTTTTTCAAAAGTCTGTAAACATTTTTGAAAATTTCATCCATATGGAATGATTAAGGCATGAACAATATTTAAAAAAAAATATAAAAAAATCAATTGTAATTATTTAAACACCATTCATCCAATTCTGACTGCCAGTGTATATTAGGGCGCCCCAGATTTTTTTTTTTGCAAAAATCGAAGTGTATAATCCCTTAGTTTTTCCTTTTTCGCTATACATATAAAGCTTTATTGGAGGAGGACCATAGTGACTCATGTTGCCTTGAAGTTGAGCTCTAGGCCAAGAATTTGGTGTGAGATTTCTACACAGGGAACACCCTCATAAGATTAAGACAATAAAGCCCATTTGTATCAAATATAAGTTTCTGGGTTTTCAGTATTTAATAAATAGAAGCATATAAATATTAAAAATCCATTTAATACTATTTTTAGCTGGTTACCATTTCATCCAACTCAGCAACAGCCGATCTTTGCTCGGGCGAACGATGCCCTTCTCAAAAACGGCGGACAGAAGCAACCGTTCCATCTCAACTAAATCAAGGGCACCACTGACTTATCCTTTAGAAGAAAAAGCACACAACAGAAACACTCAACAGGTGTAACTGCCGCAGTCAACATTAAACATACCATGGCATGCTCTGACACGCTGATGTGGGAGGTCTTATGATTAGTTCCTCGGCGGATCATACGCCTCATAGAGGAAACAATGAAAAAGCACGGATTTCTGGGCACTAATGGAAATGGATATAATTAGTAGTGGTATAACTAGTGCTGCAAGTGAAGCAAGACAACACAGGTCCACCCTATTTTTACATGGGCGCTGTCTGGTGTCCTTGTTAGTAAGTTGCCTTTGACGAAGGTCGATCTATATCAGAAGGAAACAGGACGGTACAAATTTGAAATTGATAAAATATACCAAATATTTTGGGTGGTCGCTCAAAGTGGTTAAAATCCCAGTTATCGTATAACGATCGAGGAAGAAAGCTTGGGTACCGGACCGTACCTCGGAACCAGCGGAAGTTTTTGGAGTGGTCTCAGGAGTACTTTAGTATTTTTTTTCCATTGCATTTTCATTGTGCAAAAAAAAATCTTAATGATCTGGGACACCCCCTTATGTCAAGAGACTTTTTCTTAAAAAAAATTCTTAAGTAAAGAAATTAAAAAAAAAATGTTTGAAACGTCTTTGAGCGCTCTATTTTATTATATTACAGAGGAGCTCGACTGTTTGAAAGCAAGTACTACCAAAAACTGGACTTAAAGGTAATTCACGTTAATCTCCTTGGAGAAACGATTGTTAAAAATTGCAGTAAATTTTTACGAAATGCTAGTCAGTTAAACCCTCCATAAATTAGGAGATTCATACATATTTTCAATGTTCTGTTCCGACGACTGTACAACTTTGTTTCTTTAGGGCATACATACATCTACATATCGTCGTTTAAAGTGCAAAACCGCGTATCAGCAAAATGCAAAACCACGCATGTGAGGTTGCATAAATTATTTTTTAGAGAGTAAAAAACACTCATATTTATAAATGGTTCTCTTTTTTATAAAGAAATCGCATATCTGGATAGCATATTTCAGGACGAATGGATAAGGATTGAGTCAAGAGCTTGTGTGAGCAAATCCAATTTTTGGCAGCCAATGTCAGTTACGCGGTTTTGTACTTTAAACGACGATATGTACATTTGAAATGTTTTACTTTGCTAAATGCCATAATAATATAAATTTCAGCCCTTTTTTTTAGTAGTAAGTATGTAACCCTTAAAAAATTGTTATTTAATTAAAGCATTTTTCAAATTTCCGCTAAACTCAGCCAACTTTTGCCTGACCTCAAACAAAGCGACCGACCGACCACACTTACACATGCATTAGTACAAATCCACTTCTACGCATTTCCTCATTTCGACTCACCTGCCGCAAACTTTGTTGTGGTGCTATTCAGCCGCTCATAGCATTCATTCCGCAACACTTCGAAACTATCCGGCTGCGTCTCCGCCGCGGCGCTTTCATTCTCCGCTCTGGCAACGTTTCGCACACCACCAACACCACCAACACCATCAACTGGCGCCACATCCGCTTTCGCTGAGTCTACAATGTCAGCGGATGTTGGTAAGCCCGCCAACATTCTAGCTGCTAGCGTTAAAGTGTTGCTTGTTGCCGTTGCTGTTGTTGGCGCTGCCAGTAAATTATCTGCATTGTGGGTGTGTGTAGCCGCTGAAGTGGCGGCTGTTAAGCCAGCTATACACAAAGTGTGGGCGAGTAGCTGCGATTTGCCGGAGAGGATATTCATTTTTTGCTTGGGTTTTAGCTTTTGTTTGCTTATTCGCTTGTAGATATGAAGCTGGTGATTTTGTAGCTAATTTTGTTGGTTTTGTTGTCGTCGTTGGTACATTAGCATTGGCGAGGATGGCAGGTGTTAAGGTCACTGCTGTGAAATAACAAAGGTGTAGTAGCAATTGCGGTGACATATACTGACGCGGCACATCCTTTCGGCTACGTTTAGTACATATTTACCAAGGATATATGGACAGCGCTGGTGGACTGCTGTTTTCTCGAATGTGTTGAAGGCTGTGTGCTTTAGTTAGTACATGTATGTGGTATGTTTGTATTTATGTATGTAGTGCACGTGTTTCTCCATGAGGTACGTTTGGATGTAAGTAGCTTCTTTTAGCCTTGAATCCTTTATTGATTCGTTTTCGAACAGCCTCAAATATTTAATCTTCACTTTTCCTAAATTTTTATGGTGTCCATTGAAATTTCTTGTCTAGTGAACTGCGGATGGATTAATAAAAAAGAACAGTATAAGAAACGAATTTAATCTTTAATATATATAAGTAAAGTAAAATCGAGTACAGTTATACTCGAATCTCTATATTAATTCTGGGAAGCAATTTTGGTTACCAAAAAAAAAAAAAAATGCTGAAATGCTGAAATGCGACCAAAACTGACTAAAATTTTATCAAATAAAACAGTAATGATCCGTCATGAATTTCTTCTCTCTACGATAATTCTAATAGGTGACGCTTGTTGACGATCGTTGATTTCTTCTTTTCTTAGGTCAATATAATATTCTTAAGTGTAAAAATACAAAAATTCTTATATTTTGAAACCTTTCGATTGATCCTAGAAAATAGTATTGACCTCAAAGGAGAAATCATTTTCTTACTTGTTATTCCTATTTATGGGGGAAAAAACGACCGATTCGGCACCTCTTAGAGTTATTCTATAGAGAGTGTAGAATTCATGGAGGATCATTACTTTACTAAAATTTCGGTTTGGTCTAATAAACATGTATCCCTTGATCGCTCACATGAATTCATTTGGGAGAGATGAACAGTGAAGCAGGTAATACTCGGCTCAGTAAAAAAAATTGAGTCTACAGCGACTTTCTTGCCAGTTTTCTCGGCCGATGACCGAGTCGACTGCTCGCCAAACTGTTTATACGAAACGAACACTCGGCCGAGTTAGTGTATCGCCACACTACTCGTTGGTGTGATGAAGATATTCGAGTACTCACGAACCGCTCTAATAGGTTTACTTAGTGATCAATATTTTTTCCGGTTGTTTTTATTGATTTAATTTTAATAGAAACCACCGAGCTATTCAAGCAGAATAAATTTGAAAAAAAAAAAAAAAATGATCCAGACAACTTAAAAAAATTTAGTGTGCATAAAAAAGTGCATAAAATAATTCGGAAACCGCTAGATTTGGCAAAAAAAAAAAACGTTGCCAATACAACAACTAAAATTACACAATTTCCAATGCTTTCAGCCGAATACACGTGAAAACACATGTTTGTAAGTGAATACTGTAGTTTTTTTAAGGCTACAAAAAAATATTGCACAAAAAGTTGATAGCAGCTCGATTTAATTAGATTTTGGTTAAAAAACCACATACGCCTCACAATTGTGATTTAAATGTGGGTGGTCGCTATTTTTGTGGTTTTTCCACAGTTTAAAGCGGACAAATATGAACATCTAGTATATATAAGGTGACCAGATTTCTGTGGACAAAAATCGGGACATTTCTTAAGTGTCGAATGAAAACATATAATTTTGTTTTTAGAATAAAATGACATAACATCGTTCAATTTAACTTTCTCTGCGTTTGCCCACGTTTTTAAAGGTATAATTTGTTTGTTATTTTTTGATAAAAATATAGTTTAATTTAACAAAATTTTCATTAAAATTTTGAGATTTTTATAATGGAAGTCTTAGAATTTTTTTGATTGTGCAGTTTTTTGCTGGCGGCTTTGCGGGGTTTTTTACATAACCAGTGCAATTTATAATAACTGACATTGATTTTTTTTTAATTTCTTAACAAACAGTCTTGCGTATTTTCTTTCATAAGATGCTTGTACCGTAACCAAAATTAAATTCGGCGATTCTCCGCCGCTGAGAACTTTCACTTTATTATACTAAAATATAATGGGGTACAATACTGCATACTCAACCAAAATTCTAAAAAAATCAGATTAAAAAGCTAAAAAAAATTTAATGAATAATTTTTTAGATTTTTTTAAGCTCTTTATAAAGTTAGATTTATATGGCTTTGTTAAGTTAGGTTAATGAGCTTTTCTTGAAAAGAGTTCATTTGGTAGCCAAAGTGGCCCATTTCGATGCACAGGAAAGACTATCCAAAAGAACCTGTCTGAACATGTCCATAAACCATTCTGATTGTTTGGCGAAAACAAGAAGGCCTTCCAGTGTAACGTTGCTTCAACTGTCCAGGTCCTCGGATGAAACCGTTCCCCAGAAACAGGAAGCGCATATCTTGAAGTACAGGCCTTTTGCAAAGGAAGTCTTTAAAATATTCTACCTGCACAGAAATTGCTGTACTTAGATCATAAAACAGCTAAGCTGATAATTAGTTTTCCCCTATTGCCACTAATATTGTAACACAATTACATACATACATACATACGTATTTAGGTAAATATTATGATGCAAAATCGTCTTTAAATTATTTATGTCGAGGTAAAAGTACGAGTTTTAATTGAGTACAGAGTGTAGATAGTTTTGAACATACACAGCCTAAAAGTATACCCATAGATAGAAAATTTCTACTTAATTAAACATATGTATGGATGTGGTTCTTCACATGCAGATGAAGCGTATTAAAATTTGCAAGCTTCCAAACTTGCATCTATCAAAAAGCTAGTGAATAAATTAACTAAAATATTCAAATCGCCCTTGACGAGCTAGTGATGATAATATTAGTTTAATTTGCT